AAAAAAAAAAAAAGGATTCTCTACCCAACCAACTACGAGTCAAGTGTAAGGGTTTAATAAAGGTATCCTCAGACGTAGGCCTCAAAAAAATTCACCTTCCTGCCACCCTTTCTCAGAAAGCTACTGAAGGTTCCTCTACCTAAAGAAATCTATCAAAAACAAGAAAATGTGGGATCCAGAAAACAGAGAATCCAACTCAAAAGAGAACAAAGGGAGTCCCTAGGATGATGGAACAGAGAGACCCCAAGGCAAGGGTGGGCTTTAGTGCAGACACCAGCCCATCTGAGGCAGGTCCCAGCGGGCAGAGCAGCCAGTGGGGAGCAGCCTCCCTCCACAAACCACCACAGCTAGAGAAAAACAAATAGAACCCAGACAACAAGCAGTACAAGATCATAATCCCCAAAAGAAGCAAAATTCAAGAAATGAACCTCCTGATCACCAGTGTTCTACTAGGGGACAGTGGCCTAGTGCACCAGAATCCAAGCACAGGGGTCATACCAAGCTGAGGAGGCAGAGGTCGGAGTGCTAGAGTGGCTGACGCAACTCCAGTGTAAGTCCCCATAGAGGGGAGCCCACATTTAACATGGCGCATTCCAGTGAGCTCTTGACCAGAGTGGCCTCTCTAGGTTGAGAAGAGATCCGAGATGGAGGGTGAACAGCGCTGGGGGTAGTTCTGAAGTTCCAAGCCCTCATTAGTGTCACGTCACCACATTGTATCTTTTTTTAAAAAATACATTTAATTGTTGCAGGTTGAACGCATCCCTTATCTGAGTTGAGACATCAGAAAGGTTGTGCCCTATGAGTGAGGACCACGCCTCAACGTAAGCCTTGGGTTTGGAGTTTGAGGTCTGTCATATCAAACAGAACATAACAAAACATAAAAATAAGCCTAAAGAAATTCAAGGCAAGCAGCCAGCAACTGAGTTGACTATTAGGACAAGACTCTTCAAAAGAAGGTAACAGAATCCAGAACGTCCAGTCATCTCAATTTTCAATATATAATCAAAAACTGCTAAAACGTGCAAAGAAACAGGAAAACATGAACCACAGGTAAGAAAAAAGAGTCATCAAAAGATAATTTAGTAAAGACAATAAAGAAGCTACTTTAACTGATGTTCGGAAAATTAATGGAAAGTATGTTCAAAGAATTAAAGAAAAATATGAGCGTAGTAAGTGGACAAACAGGGAATAAGCAGAAAAATGAAAAACAAATCTTGTTTTGAGACAGACAGAGCCCGGGGTCGAGTGCCACAGTGGCACAGCTCCCAGCAACCTCAAATTCTGGGTTCCAGTGATCGTCTTGCCTCAGCCTCCTGAGAAGCTGGACTACAGGCCCCCACCGTGACACCTGGCTAATTCGTATATTTTTAGTGTAGATGGAGTCTCACTTAGCTCAGGCTGGTCTTGAAATCCTGAGCTCAAGTGATCCTCCCACCTTGGCCTCTCAGAGTGTACGACACCCAGCTTGGAAATTATTTTGAAAACATTTTAAAAATGTGTTTTAGAAAGAAAAAAATAAAAATTAAAATGTATTTCATTATTTACTAATCATCAAAATTAATTTTTAAATGAGTAGAAATTCTAGAACTATAATGGATAGTAAGTGGAAAATTCACTGGATGAGCTTATATAGGCGGAAAAAACAATCAGAGAACTTGAAGAAAAATCCATAAAAATTAATCTGAAGGGATTAATGAAAAAAAATGAACAGAATCACGTGGATTTGTGAGATAATACCAAACTGTCTCTTAGTCATATAACTGTGGTTCCAGAGAACAGACAGCAATAACAGAAGGGAAAAATATTCAAAGAACGAATGGCTTTATAAAAAACCTCCAAATTTGATGAAACATCCTGGCTCAACACCCCCAAGAAGAAAAAAAATTACAAAATATACTGCAGCAGTTCGTAGCCAGGATGGACAGGGGAAAAAAAGATACAGGGGGAGATGTGGAAAGTAGTCAGAGAAAAGACATATTACAGGTGCGGGAATAACAATACGAATGGCAAATAACTTCTCATTGCAAACAACAAAGGCAAGGCTGGAAAGTGCTAACAAGAAAACAAAATGCTGAAAGAAAAAGCACTTGACACTGAGGTCTTAACCAATGACACTGTCCAGGCTGAAGGATAACAATGGTAAATCATCACCATCTGGTGGGAAGACTCAGAAATGGGAAACAAGTGGGTACATGTGAAACACTGTTTGCTTTTTCCTGTAATTTTTTATAAGACAAATGACTATGAGATTATAAATGACTGTAGGATGGGGTTTATAATATAGTAGAAATAAAAAATATTACAAAAACTTACAAAGAACAAACAGGACACATCAATGAAATGATTACCACTGTAAGGTTACTACATTCGTAAAGAGAAAATCTGAAATTTGAAATGTCAGTTCTTTTTTTTTTTGAGACAGAGCCTCAAGCTGTCCCCCTGGGTAGAGTGCCCTGGCATCACAGCTCACAGCAACCTCCAACTCCTGGGCTCAAGAGAGTCTCCTGCCTCCGCCTCCCAAGTAGCTGGGACCACAGGCGCCCACCACAACGCCTGGCCATTTTTTGGTTGCAGCCATCATTGTTGTTTGGTGGGCCCAGGCTGGATTTGAACCTGCCAGCTCAGGTGTATGTGGCTGGCGCCTTAGCCACTTGAGCCACAGGCACCGAGCCGAAATGTCAGTTCTAAAGTACAAAGTGGTACAATATTCACTCGAAAGAGCCTTGAAGTTCCGGATACAGATCGAGACGAGAGAGAAAATAAAATAGAATTCTAAAAAACTTTCCATTAAACCAAAAGAAAGTGGGAAAGGAACAACAGAAAAAAAAATAATAATAATAATAAAAAGAGAGGCAAATAAAAAAATAACAAAGGGTAGACTAAAACCCAACCATGCCAATAATTACAATACATACAAATCCACTGAACAGTGGTTAAAAGCCAGGGTTTTGGTGGATTTCTTCCTGGTTGGAAATCTTACCCCACCTGCATCCAGGTGGAATAAAGCTATTTTAACTGCACAAACAGGCCTCTGTCTTCCTTACGCCTCGCACCTTGGAATAATCTTCCATTTTTGACTTTGTAAACTTTCATTTCGTGCTGAACCCAGGATGGGAGAAGCCCCTTTAGCCCCATCAGACCCAGCTAAACGGACCCTTCTTCCAGCAAGAGGAAAGAAACTGGAAACCTGACCCTGCCTAAACTCCATCCATCTGATGGTGAGCTTTCATCCAGAACTCCTTTTCTAAACTTTTTAAACTTGTCTTCCTATCGTCTACTCTTAACTTCCTCTTTCCCTCTCCCTCCATCTCTGGGTCTCTTCCTTCCTTCTCCATTTTTTCCCTGCAGGTTCCCCATGTGGGGCCTGGCCTCCCTGAGCCCAGCCCCAGCCACCCCAGCCAGCCAGGCTCACCCATCCATCTAGTGCATGGGACACGGACTTACAGGCTGGTTTATTTCGGCTGGTTTCACACGTGGAGGCCTCACTTCCCTGATCTCAGCCAGGCTCACCTGTCCGTCCAGTGCCTCGTGTTTGGGGGCACCCTCTTGTAGGCCTGGGCTCCGGCTGGTTCCCCAGCCTCACCTCTCTGGGGCCCTACTGTGGGTCTAGACCCCTCCAGCTGGTTAAGGTCATGTGCAGAGGCCAGGCCCTCTTTTGACCAAAATCGTGTGGAGAGTCCAGGTAATCTCCTGACGCCAGCCTTGACCCAGCTCGTCAGTGCATTGTCCTACTGTGGGCTGGACCATTTTTGGTAGTCTGTGAGCCAGTCTCACTCATCCAGTGCTCTCCTGAAGGTCTGGATGGCCATTTTCCCCAGCGGGTCTCACACATGGAAGCCCACCTCCCTGGTTCCAGCTCTGGACTTTCTTCTTCCTCCTACATTCTCCCTGTAATCTCATTTCTTTTCCTCACAGATTTCCCCTTGTTCACCTCTAAACTGCCTTTTGTTTTTGGGTTTTTTTTTTTTTTTTTGAGACAGAGCCTCAAGCTGGCCCCCAGGGTAGGGTGCTGTGGCATCACAGCTACAGCAACCTCCAACTCCTGGGCTGAAGTGAGTCTCCTGCCTCAGCTTCCCAAGTAGCTGGGACCACAGGCGCCCGTCACAACACCTGGCTATTTTTTGGTTGCAGCCGTCATTGTTGTTTGGTGGGCCGGGGCTGGATTCGAACCCACCACCTTAGGTGTATGTGGCTGGTGCCTTAGCCGCTTGAGCCAATTTTGACTAAATTAATCTCTAAAGCTCTCTCCTGACCTCAAACCAAAACGTCTCATTTTTTTCCGT